TGGCCAAGGCAGGGGGTGTTACTCCAGTGCACATATACAGGGCATGAGGCAATGGCACTCTCTATGGGCACCACCATGGGCAGCAGTGCTGGAAACATGCTGGGGAGGGAAAGGGAGGCCCCCAAGCTCTGGTACATTCAGAGGATCGTAGATAGGTGAGTCCAGAGAGGTGTGGTGCCATGGCACAACTTGGAGTACACTTAGTCATGGTCACTGCTTTGATTGCTGGGTAGTCCATCCCTCCCAAGCCAGCTTTTATATAGAATTAATTAAAAGTGAGAAACTGCCCGAGTACTTGGCCTACTTTTGGGCAGCCCAAGCCAAGCGTTGAGCTGCTGCAGTCTGTCTCTACTGGTAACTCCTCCTCAGACTGAGACATCCTGACTCCTCTATATATTCTGTTCACCCCAAAAACTGGGTGCAGGGCTGGGTTATAGCTCCTCTTGCATTTTCACAGCACAGCCATGAGTTGCATCCTGCCCTTCCAAAGTGAGTAAAAGTACTAAAGCTCGAGACACATCCTCCACATAAAATTCTGGTCTTCATCAATATGCTAGCAAGTCACTTTTAGCACATTACTGAGTTGCTGTTGCAATCAACAGATTTTGGCAGGCAGCTCAGGGGATTTTAAAGCTGTAGCTATCCATTACTAAGAAAAATAGTTGCCTACATGTTGTTAAGAAAGCAAAATGAGAAGATGAGTATCATAGTGAACCCTGTAATTCTGTGTCCTATAGCTTCACAGTTATCCAGAAAGGCACAGGTATATGATAAGCCATTTTCATGACTGCTGAAATGATTGAAGATACTCACATGTGATGCTTTAGATTAATTAAGAAGCTAATAACCCAATGTCACTTTGTCTCAGATTCAGTGAGGAAAATAAAGAGAGGAAATAATGTCTGATGAATGGAAAACAATAGGTATTATGAAGATAAAAATGTTAATTTTAACAAGCTTAAACACCATGCTTATAAAATAACTTCTCCATGGATGTTAGTGTCATGCAAAAGAAGCAAAAAGTGGGGGAAAGAAAATGACAGACCTCAAATGGATCATCACAAGGAACTGCTTCCTTGCAGTACATGAGGTGCAGGACAGAATTGTCCTTGGAGTATTTTCAAGGCATGTAAATTCCCAGCATGTCCATACATTTCCTGAGTACTGCTAAACTCCCAGCAAGCTTAAAGCTACCAATGTATTCTGCCCATTTTATAACTTTGGCCCAGAGTCAGATCATCTCAACATGATTTTGATATACTGGAAGGGTCAACACATAAGCATACCCCACAGGAGGCATCCAGGATGGCTGAAAGGAAAATAGCCAACTTCAAGGTGAAGTTGTGTGTTAGTGACTTTCACTACCATGCATGTCACTGTCATAGAAAAGACAAAGACAAAAATGAGCAAGAGAGGCCATTAAATACTACTCAAACAAACCTCCCACAGCCACACCACCAGAAAAAAACCCATGCCCCATCTATTCATTCACAACAGCACGAGCTCTGCAAATACAGCTGGGAAGATCAATGGCAACAAAACATCGATTTTGTTCTATTTTCTTTATGTCTATGGTGCTTCTATGTGACAGTCCTCGTGTAGCAGGGGACAACTCATGTAGTCCAAATCCAGGCTACAGTACCATGAGTTGAGACTGAGCAATTCTACTGCTGCTGGGGAAAAGCAAGAGTGACAGGTGTCAGTAAAAACATCTACAGACATCTTGAAGTGCTAAAACACAGACAAACCATCATGGGAAATGGTAAAAGAGTCATTGGAGCCTGAGGCCTGTTTTGTAAGGGGCAACATTTGCCTTCAACTCCTGTCTTACATGAGTCACTCAGCCTCACACCTCACAATATTGAGAGATGCTAGAATTAGTGAGAAATGTGTGACATCATCATGTCTTGGATAACACATAAAGATACCTCTAGCATCGAAACATGAAATAATTAGAGTAACATGCTATTAAATAACAAAAGTAAGTTTATTTTATCAACATTATAAATATTATCTTTCCCTCCATTTAACTCCAAAATAAGATAGTAAAACCAGTACAATGGAACAACTCAGGAGCTCCTCAGTTCTATTGAAAAGGGTCCCCATTGATAACAAATTAAATTAAATCATTTTGTCAGTCCAGCAACTTCAGTGCTGAGCATCGCTAGGTACTTTGTCATTCAAAGTGTGGGTGCATATGTGTGTGTGCACCTATATATATGCATACTAATATTTATAAATATACATATATATAGTAATATACACACATGAATAGACACAGCCACTGAACAGACACTTTAGTAAATCAAAATGTTTTACATGTAATTTAAGTGGGTTCCCAGCTGCACACTGAAATTTGGGCCCCGCACAGTGCAGGCCCAATGAACTACGTTAGACCTCAAAGGCTCAAGAGATTCAATACGTACGTGTCACCTTTAACTGCTGCAGAGTCTGCCTGCTTCTGGTGGCTGTCCAAAATCGAGAAACCCATCGAACTTGAAAAAGGGTAAGGAACAATCCTGCAGCACCCCAGCCCCAAACTCCTTCCCTCAGTGAACCGACTTCTGATATCCCTGGCCATATGTGAGCCATTGCAGATGGCTCTGATACATGTAGATACATGCTCTGTTATCTACAAATACAATACATCACAAGTATCTAATGCATTATGTGTGCAGTGCTTTGGGACACCTTGAATGTTAAAGGCACCACATCAGCCAGCTCCTGTCCTATCTCCAGTGCTGGGGTTTATTTTCATCATGCAGTAACTGCCTCCTGCTGAGCACACAGCGCGGGCAGCTTTCCAGAGGCACAACAGGCTCACTCTGATCATAGCATCGTACTCCAGATGCTGGGGAAAAAGGCAAGCCAGACTCTCTCGTGTGCTCCGAGCTCCTTTGAGCAGTCTGAATAGCACAAAGGAGCTCAGGAAATCTGCCCATTCTGCCAAGCTGCTCAAGAGCCAGCCTTGCTGCAGCCACCCCTCAGGCACAAGGGATGTCTCACTGAGCGGAGGACCACTGGGGACAGAAAGGGATCAGACCCAGGTCCCTGATCGTAATTCACATGTGGCCTCTGGAAGCTATGTGTGATTACAGCAAGCCTTTACTGCTCCACCTGCTTCATGGGACTAAAGCACCAGGGAGCTGCAATGGGCTCACTGACCATCCTCTGCTCAGGCACCGGTGTGGCCTGAGCACAGGACAGAACCAAGACCTTAGTGTCATAGAAGCTTCTTCCATTTCTCACATCAGTAAAACAAAGCAAAAAGATAAAACTGATACTAATATAAATCTTATTTTCATCAAATGTGTAGAAATATTACAGTAATGTCTTTCCTCACAGCTGGGAAATGATGCAAGGCCTACTATGAAACCACAGCATAAAGATCTTCCTTGTGGAAATTTCACATACACCAAAATTATGCTCTGATTTTTTATTTTAACAGCTGCCAAATTCTGTTCTAGAATACACACATACTGACCTTCGCCACAAGCCCCTGGATGATTATCAAGGGAAGGAATTTGGCTTTCATATTTTATTTTTTAAACAAGAAAGGTAAAGACAGAAAATAAGACAAAATACATTTCATGTCGCCATTGATCTATAGATTACAAATATATAGTTTCCTTCCAGAGGAAGAAATGCTAAAGAAATATTTTGCTCATATCAAATGAACTTTTGAAAACAGAAAAAAAAAAAAAAAAAAAAATCAGCTCCTCCCTCTCTGCCACAACAATCTTTTGTTTATTAAAAAAAAAAATAAAGAAAGAAAGAAAAGGAATTGCATTCATTTCATTTCCACAAATTCTACCAAGGAAGAAAAACTTATCTGAATAATGACCTGAGTTATTTTCATGGTTTCCAAACTGCATGTAATCCCGATGACCGCCGTCTACCAGAGACCTACATCTAGCAAAGTGCATGAAAACAAACACCGGTGGATCTTTCAAAACAAACAGCAAAGCAAAATTCAAAAATCTATTGCAAGAATTATGCCAAAAGTGGGCCATGAGCATCTTCATGGGAACTGATCACACAAAGTGGAAGTGGAAGCTCTGCTCTTTCTGGCAGCTGAGTTGCCTATAGCAATTGAAAACCTTAAATGAACACTTTGTGTATGCCTGTGTGTATGTGTGTTTGCTTTCTCTTCTTTTGTGGTTATAATCTTTGAGGCAAGCCAGAGAACAGACGAATACAGAAGACAGAGCTGGCCTTTACAGCGGCTAAACAACTTTATGTTTCTGAGCCTATAGTGGGCAATGAGGCAAAGAGTTGCTGCTTGTCCTTCTCCAGTGGGATAGCCTCTCTGAAACTTTGGGAACTAGATAGTTTACAGGTTCAGCCAAAGAAGATTTTCCTATTCACAATGCGACTAGGGTGGTGCTCATTTGTTTGTTGATAGCAGCAAGCCTAGGCTGACCACTGATGTTCTAGGTCTCCTTCCTACCTCTGACTGCAACACAAATGGGACTGGGTTCTTAAGTCAGTCCATCAGAACTCCCTCTGTCTTGCACAGATCTCTCCCCAGTGTAAACCCCATCTTTTCAAAAGTAAAAACTAGCTATCAACTTTTAGGCAGGACTGAAACCTGAGCAGAATTGGGTCGGTCATTATATGCACAATGGTGGCGTGAGAAACCCTGCTGGTAACTCTCTGCTCTGCTATACAATGTGGTATATTCCGTATAACTCCTTCCCATACAAATTACTGTCTCATGAGGATACCATAACCATATACCCAGCAAAAATGAGGAGGTTAGTGTTTGTTACTGCTGTAAATCTAACTGTGCCCCACACCCTGGGAAACAGGGCAATAGGCAGAGTCCTCTCCAAAAGTGAGAGAACTCCCCAGTGACTGAGCACTGAGGACGCAGCTTCCAAGAGGATAGCAAGGGAGGGAATGAGCCAGTAAAAATTTTAGGTTTTTCCTAAGGGCATCCAGAGCTCCTTAAAATTTCTGCTGCTGCCTGACCATTTCTGAAGACTTAACACAGAGATATAACAGGTACTGTTTAACTGATGACAAGTGAGGGGAATGGGAGAATAAAAGGAATGCAGGAAAATGTAAGGATGGAGGAGGGTTTGGTTGGGTGTTTTAATGTCCCAGTTAGTTTTGTTCCCCCACACCCTCTTTTCTCTTTCCTTTTTTTTTTTTTAAATAAATTGTACAGATGAACATTGGAGAAGTTCATGCTACTTGCTGGAAGCAATAAAGATAAATTTCCGTGGCCCATGGATTCCACAGACCTTTGAGTGTCCCGCCTCATCCTTCATGGGCTAACTTATGGAACCTAACCGTTCCGTGGCAAGACTCAGTAGCCCTTAGAAACTGGTGGCATGTCCTCGGGTATTTTCCACGAGAGTGAGAGACACGTTGATTCCATCAGCTTCTTCCTCACACGGTGCCCGAGTGCCTCAGGTACAGCCTTGCGATTTCCAAGGATCCTCTTCGACATTTTCAGACATCAGACTGCTGTCTCCAGATCCTCATGGGAAACCATTTGGTAGTTTTGTCGACTCTCCAGGTAGGAGGCCAGATCTGGGTCACCAGCTTGCTGAGCCCTGTCACGAGGGGTCTTACCCTATAACAAAGAAACATGAAGAGAAAGAAGAACAAATATTTGGAAGAACAGATAAAAGCACGACACAGAGAAATAATTACAAGAAGCATAGGAGCAAATTTGGAGAATTAACTAATTTGTTATACAAGTTCATGTTAAGTCAAGTTTTTCTACCAGAGTCATGAGATTCTGAAGATTTTCAAAGCCTTGTGTGGTTTAGGACAAATCATGCAGTTCTGCAAAGACATGCTATTTGGTACATCACACAGAAGGGCTCACATGCTGGAAGGAACCGATTTTTCATTCTAAGGCTAAAATCCCTACGTGAATGAATATGATGTACAGTGCTGCAGCTGACACTTTGAAAATTGGACTTCACAGACTACACACTTTGCTAAGGCCTAACATTTGACATGAGTTCAACGTGTCACATTCTATCTCAGGTACAAATAATTTTTCAGTGCATCAATTTGCTACTCCCTTATCTGAGCTACCTTATGAGTATTGTTAAATGGGACCACAAATCTTGATTCTAAACTATGAAGAAATATTGCAAACATATTAATGTGTGTCCACAAAAACAATCCTGCTTCTTGGATTTCTGGGCAAACGAAGATTAACAAGTGAAGCCACTTGTCTGGATTTTCAGCTGTTACAGAAATTATCTTTTGCAATGTACAGTACTCTCATCTGAAAAAGAGATGGCCTCTCTCTCCCCATTATAGGCTACCCCATACAGCATAACATGGAAGGAATTGGTTTTAACTGTCTTGCTGCAGCAAAGGTGCTTCTGACTCTGGAACCCAGAGATCCAACCACCTCTCAGCTGCTGACCACAGGATGCTTACGTTCAGAAATAGCACAGGGGCAGCTTCTGGACCATGTTCCTAAGACATCAGATTGTTGTATTGACAGAATATTCCCAGGGTTCCATTTTCACATTTTGCCCAGACTTCTTTCTCAGCCAAGCGTACACTGGGAGAGGTCTGTGGTTAGTGTCACATCAGTGAGCATAAGGGCAAGCGAGGGCAAAAGAAAATGGTTAGCCATCCTCACAAAGCAAGTCAGCCACAATAATCAAGCCTCATAGATGCTATGCAATCACAAACCAAGGCTCTCCCCAGGTGGTCCTTGCCCACAGGCCTCTCTTTTGACCACACAGGAGGATGCTGCTGCTGTGCCATGGAGATGCCTCATTCACACCCAACACACTGAATAGTTTTAGGCCAGGCTCTCACTATGGTGAAGATGACCTGCGTTGGGGACTGAACTGAAGTCTCTGGTACTTGTTTAAATCAATACAGTTTTCTAAATAAAAATAGCTTTTTTAAAAAGAGCTCCTCTTGGCACACATGAGGAAGCCTCAATCATGCAAACAGCAGGGACGGATGCTGATCGGTCTCGCTTGGCTGCAGTATTTTATAACTGGTTGACGTGGCTGGGTTACCTTGGAGTCCGTCTTTCTCAGAGAGGCTCCTGCATCCACCAGGAGCTGGCAGATGGCACGATGGCGCTGGCAGGCTGCCTTATGTAATGCTGTCTCACCCCTAGACCAAAGTACAGAAACCAGCAGTGAGACACATCACACCAATGTACATTTACGAAGTATGAGGTGCAGAGGACAGACAGAAGGATGCTGTATTCTGCGAAGTTCCCTCTTGCTGGCAGAGGTAGATTTGTGCACTCTCTCTCTTAGCACCTGCATCCTTTGACTCAGAAGGAAAGCCTGCAATGCACAAATAGCAGACGAAGAACTTCTGAGGGGTGGGAAAGAAACATGCATTGGTTTTATGTATTCAAAGGACTGAACGTCACATTCCCATCCAACCACCAGTTCTGCTAACTGCTGCAAACACAAACTAGCCACCTTCTTTCACAGCAGGCAACAGCAACAGTTTTTGTTTCTTCCTTCCATTTCTTTCCTCAACCCCATTCTTGGATGCATCCTAGAAAAATCCCTGCTCTCTTGGATGCATAAGAGCAAAAGCTGTGGTTTTGTTTTCCACCACTTGACTGGTGAACCACTGGGAAAGCTTGAACACATGCTTTTCAACAGAGAAGGCTGCATAGCGGGAGCAGATTTATTGCAAAGCTCCTCACTCAGACTGAGGCTATGTGTAACAGGATTCCAAACCTGACTGTAGTACCGAGGTTAAAGAAATCTATGTAGACTTGCCTAGAAAGAGGAGGAAAGTATGCTCTGAGTGGGTTGAAAGGTGTCCTTAATACTAGTGTCCAACAAGTAGGGCCATTACTTGACCTCCAAAATAACAAATTACAAGAAATATGTGTATAGAAGGACAAATCTTGCACCTACCCACCCAGAAAGTCAGAGTGCATACAGGAATTTCAGCCTCAGTCCACAACAGGGCAAGTTGAGGTATTACTAGGCAACTTTGTAATGAATCTGCCTCTGCTGCATGAGAACTAGATTCAGAATGGGATACTCTTCCCCCTGAGGATCAAAAGGCAAATTCATGCTGCCAGTTACATCTTGAACCTTTTCTTTTCAAGAGTTAGTGGTAGAGGGTCTTTTGTAAAGGGAAGCCCTCGTTGCCATGTTCACTTGCACTTTATTTCAGCGGCTGTGCTATGCTACTGGATGAAGGGAAACAGGCAGTCCATCCAGACTCCATCCCCCCTGGACTGCACACATGCTTTTTGTGCAGAACTCTTCTGGTGTTCTCTGTTAGCAGAGGAGGGCACTGTGGGATGAGGAATGGTAGGTTTAACCCCTATGAGAAAGGCAACTTTTGCTTTGCATATATTCTGTATGCTTCCCAGGATTACTCATGCTTCCCTTACATACACTTTGTGACACCTTGATTATAGAACAAGACACAGAGCAGTTGGGAATCAGTAAGTCAAGCCCTTTTTTTTTTTTTTTAAATAATAACAGGGGTGATTGAAGTTCTAACTATTTGAGAGAAATCTTCAGCTGCCCAGGTTGTGGCCTCTTGGGACAGCTAAGGCAGAGCACCC